TATATATATATATATATAGATAGATAGAGAGAGAGAGTATTCAGTAGCCAGCTACAAAATAAGTTATTCCGTAGCCACCTCCATTTACGATAATTTTGTATACTAATTTACGATAATGTCAATACATATTTACGATAGTTGGGTTACTATAACACATGGAGATATTTACCATAACGTTATAGTAAACCACTTAGTATGGAGTTACTATAATCTCGTAAATTAAAATAGTAATTATCGTAACTCAAAGTGGCTACAAAATAAGTTATTTTGTAGCCAGCTACAGAGTAGTAGTTCTCTCTCTCTATATATGTGTGTGTGTATAATGCGCTTCGTGTAAGTGCCCCATGCATGGCCGGAATTTTTTTTTATTTCTAATCCTTTTTAAATAAATATTTTAATATTAATCCAAAAAAAGTATTTGCAAAAGTGACCCTTTTGGTCGTGTCAGCGCGGCTGACGCTACAGTACCACACTGTCGCGCCACATGCGCTGGCGCGACAAGCCCAGCCACGGTGGCAACCGCAGCTGCCGTGGCGGTGCGTGGGCCCCGACCTGTCATGCCAGCGACTCTGGCACGGCAGCGCTGGCGCGACAGGCCCATATAAAGGCCATGGCCCACCACCTTTTTCCTCCCTATTGTCTATCTCCCTTCACTCCGTGGCCACTCTGGGCGAGCTCGAGGTCACCATTGTGTCCTGTGTTGTCTCTCTTCTCCTCCTTCTATCCTCTATTTGCCTTTGATCAAGTTTGCATTTGCTTTTCAGATTTGAACGGTCTTGTGCATGAGGTATGACTCCCTCACCTCTGTTGTTTTTTTGTGTTTAGTTGATGTTTATATATTGCTCTGGTTTAGACTGCTGTTTGTAATACCGGCTTTCGTTTGGTTGAATGAAAGTTGCTTTGGCTAATCACGTCTAATATATTATGGTTCACGTTGTACTTGTTGACCTTTTATGATTTTTTATTGGTTTTGGTTGGCAGTGCATTAGGGTTTTGGTTGGCAGTGCATTAGGGTTTAGACAGAAGTGTGTTTTTTTGTGGTGATTAGATGTATAGATGAGTTGGACTATGTATGTATAGACATCATTTACATTCAATAAGTTTGTTTTAGGGTTTGGCTTCATGGGTTTACATGATTATTGGTTCATATCTTTGCTTTCTTGAACTACTTTGTAATAGGTTTAATGGCGGTTTGAAATGACAACTAATTCGTGCACCATCCGAAGGGCCATGGTGCTATCGATCCTTTCCTACCAGCAGAGCCAACACCATTGTGTTATTGTGGGTTACCGGCATTTGTGAAGAAGTCAAGGCATCCCACGTCAGCTGGGTGTGCTTTGTACTGTAGCCAACTTAAGCGACATCCCCCGACACTTGATGCCTACCTAGAGGGATGTAGCTTCTATCAGTGGATCGATGGCGTTGAAATGCTTGATCTGTTGATTATGTTGTTTCCTTATAACCCCTAGAAGAGTGTTCCATATTCAGAATTTCTTCATTGTGTTCCACCGCCACAGAACCCTCTAGAAATGACAGAGGTGGAGAAGGTTGACGCTGCTTTGCGCCATCTACCCAATCCTCCTAGATGCCATTGTGGAGTGTTGACGCGACTAACTACTCCTAGCCAACGTGGAGCATTAATTGCCTTCTATCACTGTGGATTGCCAGATTATGTGAGTTCTCATGAAAGCAATCTATCTCTAAGCTTGTATGCGTTTTGCACATACAATGTTGCAATTGGAACATGTGTTTTTTTGCAGAGAGGGTCCCATCTTGTGACTTTGAGGAGTACAACTATGGACCCAAATCGTACTGGCCTTCTGAGTATGAATTTGTGTAGTTTCAAGCAGGCATTAAGCCATGGCCATGCACAAAGATGTCGGACCATAAGTGTAAGTGTGGCATCAAGGCTCACAAAGGAGTTGTTCCTTCTGCGCTAGAATACGAATACTACTGTGGCAATGCTTATGGAGGGCCATCTGAGTTATGGGTAAGTTGACTGAACCGGTGAAGTTACTACATGAACATAGGCCACCGGTTTATTTGCTCATGGCTTTTTGTTTGCTTAGGTGGGGAGGACATGCGATTGGGAGGACTTCACTGGTCGTGGAGAGTTAGTGGAGAGGCTGAAGATACATTCGCCACTCCAAAAAGAGAGCAAGCGTTGGATGCAGGAGGAGAATCAGATGGAGGTGAGGATGAGGTATGGGGTAGAGATGCCTTCATGGAAGATCCATAATAGGATTTTAGAGGACTTTCCTCGAGTGACCGGTCGACAACTGAGTTTTTACAATAACGAGGCTGAATTAATGAGCTTCTAGCGATAAAACAAGGAGGCCTACGACTTTAAGTAGGCCGAGGATAAGAGGGAGATGGCCTTTTTCCACAGGCATTTGCGTCGCTTATGTGAGTAATTGATTTAGAAATTTGTTTCAACTTGTGCATCTTCTTACAATTGTTGCTAATGAGACATTGTTTCGTTCTTGTAGTCCCCGATAATTTACCGAACGCCGGCCATATCCCCGCACCCATGGAGGAGGAGGATGATGACGATGACCATGATGATGGCAATGGCCATGACGATGGTGATGACCATGAGTAGTGTCTCAACTGCTACAAGGTGCAGTACATATTCTACAAATGCTAATAGGTTTGGCATTTCGTAGGTCTTGTATATGGTAGATGGAAGACAGGTACGATAGCGCTGCTTCTTTTGTGCCAAGGCAGCAAGATTCGTACATATTTTGCAAATGCCAATAGGTTTGGCATTTCATAGGTCTTGTATATGGTAGATGGAAGATAGGTACGATAGCGCTGCTTCTTTTGTGCCAAGGCAGCAAGATCCGTAAATATTTTGCAAATGGTCATGGGTTGCCATTTGGTAGTACTTGTTTATGTTACATGGAAGACTCTTAGTAGTAGTGGTTGTATATGCTAGATGGAACACTTATAAGTGATGATGATGATGACCTTGAGTTGTACGAACAATGCTTCGAACTCCTTATCGTGTGTTATGGTAATGTGAACACTATTTATCTTTGCATTTGTCATGTAAACAATTCTTGTAATTTGAAGTTTAGTTCAAAACATGAAGAACACATAATGTTCATGATTTTGGAAATGTTGGACATGTACAAAGTGCAATGTTTGCAAATGGTGGATTTAGGTTTCGAAAACATGAATAAACAGTTCAACAAAATTGGTAGCCATGCTGTCGTAGATGAAGTTTGCCAGGACTGTCGCGCCACCCTACGTGGCGCGACAAGCCTGTCATGCCTGAGTACTCCATAATACCTAACATGGGGACTGCACGGATACCCTTGAACACCTTGTTGAACGATTCTAAAGAATTGATAGTCATCACGCTGTACCGAAGACCTTTGGCATCGAATGCAAGAGCCCACTTGTCCCTTTGAGGCATCTGATCCTGAAGCCAACTCTTTGCCCTAGCATTGAGGACCTTGTGTAACTCCGCAAGCGTCTCTTTAAACTTTTCCTTGGTTCAAAACCCACATAGTGACTTCAACTTTTGCACTACCTCCTTTTTCTTCTGCCTCCTCCATATGTTGGCAACAAAGTGCCTGCACCACCGATGCTCAAGAGGAGGGCATCCATCTACATGCTGTTTTGTAGCTATCAGCAGACCGTGATGACGATCTGATATCATGCATATGTTCTGAGATGAACGGAGCACATTCTATATCACAAGCTTCAAGAGTCAACACCAGTTGTCGTCATTCTCACTCTCAGCCAAAGCGAATGCTAAAGGGACAAGTTGATTGTCTGGGTCCACTCCAACGACAATCATCAATACACCCCTGTACTCGCCTATTAGGAATGTACCATCAACAAGTACTAAGGGACGACAATGCTTGAAGGCCTTCACGGACTGAGCAAAACACCAAAAAAGTCTCTACAGAACATGCTTCTGAACGCCATCCACGTCCGTGACAATGCGACCCACATAAGGATACCACCTAAGGCCTGGATTGTAGTGTTTTATGGCACTTAGAATCCTAGGAACTTGGTTGTATGCCTCTTTCCAATCGCCCCATAGCAACTCTATAGCATGCTGCTTTGCTCGCCATGCATTTGAGTAGTTCACTCTATAACCAGTGAAACCAAATATGGTCTCCATCATGCTTGAAATAGATGTGTCACTATCGTCCCTAACTGTGCCAACAAGACGACGACCAAGGTAACGGGATGTGTTTTGGGCGTGCACACCCTTCGGCTTCGAAGATCGACACGTGTGAGGTTTGCCTCACAATGCGATTCTTCCACTTTTCATTTCTCTGCCTTCAAGCCCATAGACCCCAATGACATACATTCTTGCAAAGGACCATGTACCTCTTGTTCTTGTCAGAGTGGCTAACACAATACGGCCTGTGAAACCAAACGGCATAATCCATCAGAAAATACTTGAGATGCTCCAACGTATCAAATATCATTCCCTTCTTAATCTCCACCTCCTCACTATCTGGTACCTGTGGGCGTATAACCCTAGATACCCACGGCAATGGAGATTGGTCGTAGCACCAGGGGTGGTCCAGCCCATAAGAAGAAGGCATGTGATGCAAGACACTGATCGGCATGCATCACACGGTTTTAGGAAGCAATCTTGATGATAGAGAAGGATTTGTTCGGATATGATAGATATCGTACTCCTCGTAAATACTTACCATATACCCGAATAGATCTAGATCTAACCGACTTGTAACCCTACCCCCAGACTATATAAGGCGGGTAGGGACCCCCTCGAAATCATCTCATATTCAATACAATCAACCAAAGACATAGGACGTAGGGTATTACGTCGAACAGACGGCCTGAACCTGTCTCAACCACTGTCTCTGCGCCTTGTGTCACCATTCGGTTCCTATTATGCACACCTTCACTGATCATCTACTACCATGGGTATACTCCTCGGTAGACTGCCGACCAGATTTCATCAATAGTACCTCATCGGGCAACAACGACAAACCGGTGTCACATATTGCCTAGTCAACCAAACTAGTGTCCATGAAATTTGGTACCGAGGGTACCTCCACATGGACAGCCTTCATTTGCCACAATTCGATGTCATTGTACTCCATTGTCAATGACCCGTCAACTAGGACTCCTATTGCGTCCAGAAACCCTCCCTCACAACAATATGTTTCGTCCTCCCTACTAGGCTCAGACCTATACTCGTCCTCCACACATCATCCGAAGTACCTGGCCCCGAAGTAAAGTCATCTTCATCTGTGGAGGCAACATCAACTTCGTCATCCTCCGATCCTTGGGATATGTCATCCATATCATGTGTTACATCTCCATTGCCATCATCCTCATCAAACGTTTCTTCATCGAAATCATCATTCAAGGCACCGGGCTCACATGACCTATCAACTTCTCTAACGATAACCGCATGTAACTCTTTGTCTTGGGTAAGGTTCTCTACGGGCTCCACATCCACATTATCATCCACAACCACCATAATTTGGCTACACCCCTTCTCCACAACAACTTCCAAGCACCTAACACTGATACTCTTGATAACCTCTATGTAGTTCTTCCATTCATCCTCACAAGACAAACACATCAACACATAATGTGTCTGTTCCTTCCCACAGTCAAATCTGCCTCTCAAACTTAGTGGCCACCCAAATTTAAAAAGGCACTTGCTAACCAAAGCATCAAAGGTAGGAGGTCCACTAAAGAACTCAACATGTTCGTGCATGCTTTCGAACAACCCGTTTCCTTTCACTTTGCCACCATGAAACAATCACACTAACCGATCCATCTACAAAATTCAAACCAACACATGAACTACGCATTTTGGAAATAAATCATATCCATTCACTAATACACTACAATAACAAAAACTTCACAGTGATGTCAACAAAGGCAACAAACATTCCAATCTAAATCCACCATGCACCAACTACCCAAGTCCATGCAACAAGTAGTTTACGTCCAATCCACGGGTAGAGTATATCCTAAACCTAATCTATGCATCAAATACTAACAACCAACGATCCAAACATTGTCACCATCCCTAATTTCCTAACCCTAGTCCTCAAACTCATGAGGCAAAAAATTAAGAAAAAGAGGGGGGAAGATCAACCTGGCGGTGTACTTCAGTCCACGGAAACGGGAAGTCGGGGACCACGCTGGGACAAACCTCGGTGGCGGTGCCGCTGCGGCAAGGCGCGCCGACAAGGCGCCGACGACGCAGGGAGCCCGTCTGCTCCCCCTAGCGCCACTCCTTGTCGGGGACCTAATACCGGGGTACCCAAGGAGGTGGAACTAATAACAATCGAACGTTAAAAGCTCCCGAACGGACAAGAGCACGGCTGCACTCCTTGTCCGAACGACGGGAGTTTTGTTCCGCCTCGCCCGAACGCCCGTGGACCCGCTCCACCTTGCCCGACGGCTGGAGGACGACTCCGCCTCGCCCGACGGCTGGAGGACGACTCACCCGACCCCCAAGGGATACACTCCGCCTCGCCCGACCCCCGAGGGCTGGGCTCGGCCTCGCCCAAACGCCCGAGGGCTGGCTTTACCTCATCCAAACGACCGATGACGGATCTCGCCTCACCCGATATTCGGAGGCTGACTCCGTCTCACCTGGAAAAACGTGCCCTGCGAACCCTCATGATGATGGCTACAGGGTAAATCAAGACGTTCGGGTCAACCACAGCGTCAGATGCCATGCCCTGCACCACAGCGTCAGACGTCGTGCCCTGCACCCCTGCAAGGAAGTACCGTCAGGATGTGACAGGACAAGCACTGGGACCTCCCCCAGGCGTGGCAGAGCCTGAACAGTGTTGCGGGCGTCCGCTCTCCGCCCTACAGTATCATAGGCGCCACCCTCAGCCTCCGGATGAAGGACCCGACACGGACATACGACAACCACGACGTCCCAAGGGCCAACCAACAGTCACCACGCCGGGGGTCGGGGCTCGACAATCCTATCCGACCCGCCGCCCGCGGGGGCGGGATGGGACGCCCCACTTGCTAAAAAAGGCCAGGGCATGGCCTACGAAGTTTGACGGATACGCTACTTCTCACACAGTCTGCCATAATAGGCAGGGCAGGCGTGGGGAAGAAGGAAGACTCGGGTCTCTTAAAGGACCTTCTAGGCTCTTAGTATTTTTTCTTTTCCCCCATCTGTAAACGCCTACGCCCCCCCCCCTCCCCCCCTTGTCTATAAAAGGGAGGGCGGGGCTCCCCACTAAAATGAGGAGGGCAAGACGAGCTAGCACGCGCACACGCACCATACAACCTAGCAGCAACATAGCTCTTGGCGTTCTTTCCACTACTCCATCAGGGACTTGGGATCTTTCCCTCTCCCAACCGTTTGTACCCCCTACTACAAACCTCATTCGGTGCTAATAACACGAGCAGCAACGGACTGGACGTAGGGACATTCAGCCCGAACCAATATAAACCTTGTGTCCATTAGTGCACCATCCGGGCCTAACGCGCATCAAGTATAAATTTATTAGCCGGTGTTTGTTCGAAACACCGACACTCTCCTGCCGCACGACTGAGAGGGAGAGAGAGGGTAGCAGGAGCAGCCGCTGAACTCACCGGCGGCGCGGCCTCAGATGGCTGGGGCAGCCGGGGACACAGGGTGGCGGCGGCGCCCAGGCGAGCGGAGTGAAGGAGAGGGAGAGCGAGAGAGAAAGAAAAATGGGCCGGGCCGGCCAAATCGTTTATGACCCTGTCGCGCCGGCCCGCCTGGCTCGACGACAGGGCGGGCCCCACAGAACGCCAAGCAAGTTCCGGTCAACGATGCGTGCCACCGTGGCGCCCCTTGTCGCGCCAGCGCATGTGGTGTGACAAAGTGGTGCAGTCACGCCACTCGCGCTGGCACGACCAAAAGGGATAGATTTGCAAATACTTTTTTTTATTACTATTAAAATATTGTTTAAAAAAGGATTAAAAAAAAGTCCTGCATGGCCCGGGCCCATCCGACTAAAAAAACGAAGAAAGTATCTGCACCATACATGAAACAGCTAGCAATAATAATCCATGTTTAATTTGGACGCTCGAAGACTATAGTGACACGAGAAAAGAAAGAATCGAAGAAAACAAAAAAAGAGACGAGACAAGCAAACTGATGATGTGCGGGATTACGTGGCGTGTTTGACAACCGGAAAGCTCGTCTGGGATTCATGCACACCTTAGCTAGCTAGCTTGTGGCGGATCTCGCGCGCGCTCGATCCCCGTCATATAATTAATGAAATAACCATTTAACAAATGGCAACGAAAGGCATACTAGTGTGTTGGCTTGTGGTGCACGGTGATGGAACGCCTCCCAGACAAATTAAAGACGACCGGGAGGGGCCCATGCATTCGATCCATTCATTCGCACGTACCAATACCATTGCGCTGTTTTGCGTGGAATGGATTATTTAATGAGCTCTTTGTCTAGCTCTAAAAACAATAGCTCTTTCTCGTATGGTTTCTTTTTTTTTACTTACCTCTGTGGTGCTGAAACAAACTTACATTCCTTCTGTGGCCTTCCGTTCGTTTCTGTCACTTGACGGTGTTAAGTGAAGGGTAAAAATACCGTTTTGGCTACGACAGAGAATAAATAAATTGCAGAGTTTTGCTTATTTGTTGTATATTTAGAGTAATATTAAGCAAATAAATTCACACATAACAGTAGGACATATTTGAAGTATTTAATCAAGTACACATAACATAACCGTACATGTTTGGAGTAATATTAAGAAAATAGGACATATAACAATACATTATGTGCTCTAAAAAATTTCAAATGCATTGCAATTAAGCATAAGTCTCACATAAAAAAGGTCTCACATAAATCCACCATAGTTTCAGTCTCACATAAATAAGATCTCACATAAATAAGGTATAACAAAAGTACAAATTCAAACAAACATTGGTCTCACGTACTACTAGCAAATTCAATAGGCATACCACAAATCAAAGAATGAGCCTTCTTTTGCTTTGCGTGCTCATGGCAGGGCTGCTAGGAAGTACTGTCTTGCTTCTAGTACCCATCGATGGGCTGTCAAGTGGCACCTTCGGAATGTCTACGCCTTTCTTCTTTGGAAGGCCTAGCTTCGTCTCGATGGGTGTCCACTTCCTTTTAACTTGAGTAGGTCAATCTTCACGTGAAGCAATAGGAAGTGCTTCGAGCTGATTTGACCCACTTCTTGACCTACAAATGTTATACATTGACAATGGTTTAGATAAGAGGATAACAATTGGATGAATATAACTGGAATTCAGAATTAGAAAACGTACAATTTTGAACGTCCAGAGTTGGAGTTAGTGCGGTTTTCCTTTTTTTACTTGAAACCTCTAGGCTTCGGCTGTCATGATAGTCAAATAATTTAGTTTTCAAAGTAAGTTGTGATGATATAGAGAGAATCCAGCAATATTTAAATTACCTTTTAGTGGCTTCAGGTGTACAATCATCACTTTTTCTCTTTTTATAAGATGTTTCTAAGTTTTGACTACGGTGATAAATTAGTTGGTACTTAGAATCCATCAGAAATACGAAATAACCATGTGAGAAAGGAAGAAATACCAAACCTTGGGGGAAAAGGCATGGATGCCGCTGGTGCATCTTCCTCTAAAGGCACAATAGAACTTTGAGCAGATTTGGTGTTCCTTGCCCTCTTCTTTGGTTCTTCCCTAAACTAAGAATAGAATCAATAGCATGTACTTTACAAAGGAAAAACATAAATGGTAGAGAAGACTAGACAAGTTATTACCTGATTGCTTTCATAGCTTCAATGTCTTCTAGTCTGCCTCTCTTGCAATTATGCCAATGATGTCCATAGTCCATACAAATAGGGCACTGGTGTTGTACATTTCTCTTTTTCTTGTCACCGGTACCTCTGTGCCTTTTAGTTTTAGGCCTACCAGCAATGGGTGTCAAAAAAGGTAGGTGCATGAAAAATTCATAGTCAGATTCAGGCCACTGAGACCTGTCTAAACCGCTGTCTCTGTGTCTTTTGTCACCATCCGGTTCCTATTACACGCACCTCCACCGATCATCTACTACCATGGATATACCCCTCGGTAGACTGCCAACCAGATTTGGTCGATAGTACCTCATCGGGCAAGAACGACAAATCGGTGTCACATATTAACTAGTCAACCATACTAATGTCCATGAAATTTGGTACCGAGGGTACCTCCACATGGACAGCCTTCATTTGCCTCAATTCAATGTTATTGTACTCCATTGTCAATGACCTGTCAACTAGGACTCCTATTGCGTCCAGAAACCCTCCCTCACAACAATATGTTTCGTCCTCCTACTAGGCTCAGACCTATACTCGTCCTCCACACATCATCCGAAGTACTTGGCCCCGAAGTAAAGTCATCTTCGTCTGCTGAGGCAACATCAACTTCGTCATCCTCCGATCCTTGGGATATGTCATCCATATCATGTGTTCCATCTCCATTGCCATCGTCCTCATCAAACATTTCTTCATCGAAATCATCATTCAAGGCACCGGGCTCACATGACCTATCAACTTCTCTAACGATAACCGCCTACAACTCTTCGTCTTGGGTAAGGTTCTTTACGGGCTCCACATCCACATTATCATCCACAGCCACCACAATTCGGCTACACCCCTTCTCCACAACAACTTCCAAGCACCTAACACTGCTACTCTTGACAACCTCTATGTAGTTCTTCCATTCATCCTCACAAGACAAACACATCAACACATAATGTACCCG